AAAAAAAAAAAAAAAAAAAAAAAAAAAAAAAAAAAAAAAAGACCAGCATGGGCAACATTGTGAGAACTCATCTCTACAAAAAACAAAAAAATTTAGCCAGGCATAACGGTGTGCACCTGTAGTCCCAGCTACTCAGGAGGCTAAAATATGAGGAACTCTTGATTGAGCACAGGAGTTTGGAGCTGTAGGGAGCTACGATCATACCTCTGCACTCCAGCCTAGGCAACAGAGCAAGACCCTGTCTCTAAAAAAAAAACAAAATCGTAATTTTTTTTTTTTAATTTTAAATAAACTGTTTACCTTTTGTTCTCAGATCCAGTCTTCATTCAGACCTGCAAAGACCCAGGCTCCAGCTGCCAGCTTCCTGTGGCCCCTCGGGCCACCTGCACAGGAAATTCCAAGGGTACGTTGGTCCCACTGCCAGTACCATGGCCTACAGTGCTAGGCAGCCCCTCAGTCTCTGCCACTCAAAGTTCTCCTCCAGGAATCCTTCCTAGAAAGTCCCGTTCCAGCCTGGGGCAATGTCCCCATGACCCTCGTGGCACTGCTGGCTTGGCATGTCAGCTATGTTACCTTCCTACTTCTGATGGTCTTGAATCCGTTGGGGCACTGGCCCACTGGCTGCCTTCCCACCATGTTCCCAGTACACAGCTCAGGACCCAGTACAACCCATACCTCCAGCTTGGGTGGAGCTCTCATGCCAGGCTGCCTGTCACTCACTGCCCTAGCCTGACCCTGCAACCCACTGGCAGCACAGTCAGCACAGCGGTTTGGCTCACAGCAGAGGGCAAAGGCCATCATCAGCTCCCTTTATAAGGGAACAGTCACACACTCGGTGTGCTGAGAGTGTCCTGTCTGGTCCTCTGTGCCTGGTGGGGTGGGGGTGCCAAGTGTGTCCAGAGAGCTCAGTGGGCAGCAAGGCAGCCATGGGGCTGGATGCACTGGTGCCCCTGGCTGTGACAGTGGCCATCTTCCTGCTTCTGGTGGACCTGATGCACCGTCGCCAACGCTGGGCTGCACGCTACCCGCCTGGCCCCATGCCACTGCCCGGGCTGGGCAACCTGCTGCATGTGGACTTCCAGAACACACCAAACTGCTGCAACCAGGTGAGGGAGGAGGTCCTGGAGGGCGGCAGAGGTCCTGAGCACCCCCCACAAACATGGGTAGTGGGTGAAGCCACAGGCTGCACCAGAAGCCAGGCTGCAAAGGAGAAGCAGGTTTGGGGGACTTCTAGAGGAGGGCATTTGTACACAGCCTGAAGGATTAGATTTTCCAAATGCCAAGGAAGAGCAGGGCAAGGGCCTGCAGGTGGGGCTGGACTTTGCAGTGGGTGTTCAAGCTCACTGGGCAGCATAGACTCTGGAGCACAAAGTCCCCTCTGCTGACACCAGAAGGAAAGGCCTTGGGAGTGGGAGAGGAGTCAGGGTCCTGAGTACTGTTTAAATTAGAAAATAAGGCTGGGCACGGTGGCTCAGGCCTGTAATCCCAGCACTTAGGGAGGCTGAGGTGGGTGGATCACCTCAGGTCAGGAGTTCAAGATGAGTCTGGCCGACATGGTGAAACCCCATCTCTACTAAACATAACAGAAAATTAGCTGGGCTCAGTGGTGTACCTGTAATCCCAGCTACTCGGGAGGCTGCAGCAAGAGAATCACTTGAACCTGGGAAGTGGAGGTTGTAGTGAGCAGAGATTCTGCCATTGCACTACGGCCTGGGTGACAAAGCCAGACAACATCTAAATAAATGAATAAGTAAGTAAGAAATCAATGGCAAGGCGCAATGGCTCACAGCTGTAATCACACCACTTTGGGAGGCCGAGGCAGGTGGATCACAAGGTCAGGAGTTCGAGACCACCCTGGCCAACATGGTGAAGCCCTGTCTCTACTAAAAATACAAAAATCAGCCGGGCGCAGTGACAGGCACCTGTAATCCCAGCTACTCGGGAGGCTGAGACAGGAGAATTGCTTGAACCCAGGAAGCAGAGGTTGCAGTGAACGGAGATGGCGCCATGCACTCCAGCCTGGGTGACAGAGCAAGACTCCATGGGGGGGGGGGGGAGAAAATCGAGGATGAAGGGGTATAGTGACACTGTTCAAACCTTCTGCAAGAGAAACCTTATGGGTTCTTTTGCCTCACTGCTCACCAGCATAGACCATCATCTGTAAAATGGAGTGCTAACTGTGGCCTGTTGGCAATTTCAGTGATTTTTGCAAGGTCATACCTGAGTGAGGCATCCATAGTGAGTTCCTCCATCATAGAAGATGTGACCCCCGTCCCTGCCCCAGGATCAGGAGGCCGGGTCTCCTTGCACTTGCTCACTTCTGGAAGCCCCAGGGGTCGCCCAAGGCTCATTTGGAACTAGGACCTGCAAGCTGGGGGACCCTGGCTTGACGGAGGCCGTAACCCACCCTCTGCAGCTGCGGCGCCGCTTTGGGGACGTGTTCAGCCTGCAGCTGGTCTGGACTCCAGTGGTCGTGCTCAATGGGCTGGAGGCTGTGCGCGAGGCGCTGGTGACCCGCGGCGAGGACACCGCCGACCGCCCGCCTACGCCCATCAACCAGGTCCTGGGCTACGGGCCGCGCTCCCAAGGCAAGCGGCGGTGGGGACGGAGTCTGTTTCCGCGGGACCCGGGTGGGCGGTGACTGGAGCCCGATCTGGGCCGAGAGGGCGCGCGTTCGTGGACGTGGGACACTGAGAAAGGCCAGCGAGTAGGCCAGGGACAGCGGGCCATGACACCACCTGCTCTGGGGAGGTGCGAGCGTGTGGGCGGGGACGGGGCTTGTGGTGAGTAGGCGGGGCCACGGCCTAGACCCAACAGGAGCCAGGTGGGCGAGGCCCGCACCTTTCCCAGCTGGAGGCAGGTGTCCGGGGACTATGTCTGTGCTGCCGGCTCAGTGTGGCCTGGGCCGGGCCAACGGGATCTTCCCTGAGTGGAAAGGCAGTCAGGATGGGCAGAGCCGAGGTGGGGACAAGACTCGAGCAAGGTGGGTGAGCAAAGAGTGGACCCTGTGCCCAGCTGGACGGGGCAAGGGACTGCGGGAGACCAAGGGGAGCGCAGGGTTGGAGTGGGCGGCAGAGAGTGAGGCCAAGGCCTTCATGGCCATGCCCACGCGTCCATCCGGTCCCCAGGGGTGTTCATGGCTCGTTACGGTCTCGCGTGGCGCGAGCAGAGGCGCTTCTGCGTGTCCACCTTGCGCAACTTGAGGCTGGGCAAGAAGTTGCTGGAGCAGTGGGTGACCAAGGAAGCTGCCTGCCTCTGTGCCGCCTTCGATGACTATGACGGTGGGTGATGGGCAGAGGGGCCCAAGGCGGGAACTGGGAACCTGGGGGACGGGAAAGGCGACCCCTGACCCGCATCTCCCGACCCCAGGACGCCCCTTCCGCCCCAACGAACTCCTGGACAAAGCGGCGAGCAACGTAATCGCCTCCCTTACCTGCGGGCACCGCTTCGAGTATGACGACCCTCGCTTCCTCAGGCTGCTGGACCTAGCGCAGGAGGGATTGAAGGAGGGGTCGGGCTTCCTGCCCCAGGTGCAGAGCCAGGGACTGCGGGGACTCCACAGGGCAAGCTCCTCAGAGGTGCCAGTGCTGTAGCCGGGCCTCTGAGGAGCAGGATTTGCATAGAGGGGTTTGGGATAGGATATTCAAGGGGAACCCACTGCAAGAGGAAGGGCCTGGAGGAGGAGGAGAAACCTCAGACACGGTCGTGGGAGAGGTGTGCCCAGGTCAGGGGGCACCAAGAGAGGCCATGAACCCTGTGCCTCCTGTTTACATTGGAGAATTTGATTTTAGGTTTCTCCTCTGCCAGACCAGAGCAAAGAGAGAGGGTGGAAGCTGGCACTTGGGGAGGGACTTGGGAGGTCAGTGGTGGGGACAGGCAGGCCCTGGGTCTTCCCTGGAGAAGGCTGGGGCCTGAGACTGGTCCAGGTGAAGGCAGAGTGTAGGAGGAATCCAGACCCTGTTCTGTGTCTGGTGCAGGTGCTGAATGCCATCCCTGTCCTCCTGCGCATCCCGTGGCTGGCTGGCAAGGTGTTACGCTCCCAAAAGGCTTTCCTGGCCCACCTGGATGAGCTGCTGAACGAGCACAGGATGACCTGGGACCCAGCCCAGCCACCCCGAGACCTGACTGATGCCTTCCTGGCAGAGATGGAGAAGGTGGGAGCGGCTGCCAGGGTGGGGAGCAGGGGTGGTGGGTTGAGGGTCCCAGGAGGAATGAGGAGTGGCCAGGCAAAAGCTGGGGCTGGTGCATCACCCGGTGAGCAGCACCTGGGCTGACAGGTGCAAAATAGGAGGTCATTTGGGGACTTTCCCTTTCTGTCCCCTGAGTACCCTCTCGGCCCTGCTCAGGCCAAGGAGAACCCCGAGAGCAGCTTCAATGACACGAACCTGCGTATGGTGGTGGCTGACCTGTTCTTGGCCGGGATGGTGACCACCTCAATCACGCTGGCCTGGGGCCTTCTGCTCATGATCCTTCACCCAGATGTGCAGCGTGAGCCCAGCTGGGACCCAGTGTAGGGAGCGAGGGAGGAAGGGTACAGGCGAGTACCCTGAGCTTAGCTGGGACACCAAGGGCTCCAAGCACAGGCTTGGCCAGGCTCCTGTAAGCCTGACCTCCTCTAATACAGGAGGCAGGAAGGAGGGCGTCAGGGCCAGTCCCCTGGGTGCTGACCTATCGTGGGGGACACATGTCTGTCCAGGCCGTGTCCAACAGGAGATCGACGACGTGATAGGGCAGGCGCGGCGACCAGAGATGGGCGACCAGGTTCACATGCCCTACACCACTGCTGTGATTCATGAGGTGCAGCGCTTTGGGGACATCGTCCCCATGAATATGCCCCACATGACATCCCGAGACATTGAAGTGCAGGGCTTCCTCATCCCTAAGGTAGGCCTGGGGCCCTCCTCACCCAGCTCAGCACCAGCCCCTGGTTGGTGCCCCAGCGTGGCCACTGCCAGGTGGGCCCAGTCTGGGAACCCTGGTCTGCCAGTCCTTAATGCCACCACACTAACTGTCCAGCCTGTGTGTGGGGTACAGAGCAGAGTCAGGGCCGGCCTGTCCATCCAGAGCCCAGTCTAGTGGCGAAGACAGACCAGGACCTGCCAGAATGTTGGGGGACCCAACGCTCCTAGGGAGGGGGGCAGCGTGGGCACCCCTAAGAGGTGTGACTGGGGCCTATTATGGGGTTGGAGAGGCTGCCCAGGAGCTTCTCAGGCGCAGGACTAGTAGAGTCCAGCTGTGTGCCAGGCAGTGTGTGTCCCCCATGTGTTTAGTGGCAGGGTCCCAGCATCCTAGAGCCCAGTCCTTACTCTCACCCTGCCTCTCCTACCCAGGGGACAGCGATCTTCGCCAACCTGTCATCAGTGCTGAAGGATGAGGCCATCTGGGAAAAGCCCTTCCGCTTCCACCCTGAACACTTCCTGAATGCCCAGGCCCGCTTTGTGAAGCCAGAGGCCTTCCTGCCTTTCTCAGCAGGTGCCTGTAGGGTGCCCGGCTCCCTGCCCTTCTGTGGAGTCTTGCAGAGGTATTGCCTGGGACCCATGCTCACTGAGGCCCCTCCCCTACCCACAGGCCGCCGCGCATGCCTCGGGGAGCCCCTGGCCCGCATGGAGCTCTTCCTCTTCTTCACCCACCTGCTGCAGCACTTCAGCTTCTCCGTGCCCGCTGGACAGCCCCGGCCCAGTAGCTCGCCTGCCGGTGGCTTTCTGGTGTATCCTTCTCCCTACCAGCTTTGTGCTGTGCCCCGCTAGAGTTGGGCATCAAGCCCCTGACTTGCTCCTCTTGTACAATAAATTAGTCTAGAGGCTCCCACTTGGTTTCTGAATCCAGTATGGGCTCTTGCCAAGGCCCTGGTTGTGTTGGGTCATATGTCACCTGCCTGATGTCAGCGCTTACCCCCACCTCATTTTTTTTTTTTTTTTTGATACACTATCTGTCTCTGTCATCCAGGCTGGCGTGTGGTGGTGCCATCTCAGCTCACTGCAACCTCCACCTCCTGGGTTCAAGCGATTCTCGTGCCTCAGCTTCCCGAGTAGCTGGGATTACAGGCATTCACCACCGTACCTGGTTAATGTTTGTCCTTTTAGTAGACATAGGTTTCACCATGTTAGCCAGGCTGGTTTCAAACTCCTGACCTTAGGCGATCCACCAGCCCCAGCCTCTCAAGATTCTGGGATTACAGGCATGAGCCACCACGCCCAGCCTCACTTCATTGATTCTTACCTGGACATCTGACTTTACTTGACATACAGGCATAGTGATTCTCAGCAGGTGACAGCTTACCTCCATGTCACCCCCAGAAACCCATCACTGGCTGCCTGACTTGGTGACAAGGTCCATGCATAAGTCTTGGCTGGGTTAGATATGAATAGGCATGTGCCAGGAATCAGCCCCAGTCCCTGGCTAGGGTGGGAGACTGTGTTCGGGAACCCCAGACCACCCTCAGGTCCAGTGATTTGCTAGAAGGTCTCACAAACCTAAAAAAGTTGTTATCCTCCCTTTTATGGTTTATTACAGAGAAGGGTACAGATTGAAGTCAGTGAAGATGAAAGGCACAGGGGGCAGAATCCAGAATGACCAGGCAGAGGCTGCAGCTCTCATTCCTGGTGGAATCCTACAGGCAGTGCTTAATTCTCCCCCAACAATAAGTGACACTGCAGAGAGCACTGCCAGCCATGGAAGCTCACGTGAGCCTTGGTGTCCAGAGTTCTTGTTGGGAGTTGGTCATCCTAGGCTTGAGCCCCCCAACATGGCTGACCTCACTTACTTAGTCTCAAGCCCCTCCAGTCAGGTGGATACAGGCCTGAGGGTCCAACCCTCAGTTACACTGTTGGCATGAACTGTGTTGTATGGTCAAAGGCCCCAGCTATGTACAAAGACACTGTTTCAGACAGGACATTCCAAGGCCTTAGCATATCTCCCAGCAGCCTGTCAAGGGTCAGTGATATGGTTTGGATTGTGCAAGAAATGACTTCCCCATTTTTTACTACACAAGCCACCCTCTTGGCTCTGACACCATAATGATCACATTAGTGTGAGTGTGTGTGTACGTGTGTATATGTTTTTTTTTTTTTCTTTTTGTTTTGAGACAGGGTCTCCCTTTGTTGCCCAGGCTGGAGTGCAATGGTGCAATCGTGGCTCACTGCAACCTTCGCCTCCCGGGTTCAAGTGATTCTTCTGGCTCAGCCTCCCAAGTAAGTGGGACTACAGACGCATGCCACCACACCTGGCTAATTTTTGTATTTTTAGTAGAGATGGAGTTTCACCATGCTGGCCAGGCTGGTCTCAAACTCTTGACCTCGTGATCCACCTGCATCAGCCTTCCAAAGTGATGGGATTACAGGTGTGAGCCACCATGCATCCGGCCTTTTCTTCTTCTTTCTCCTCCTCCTCCTCCCTCCTCCTCCTCTCCCCCCTCCTCCTCCTCCTTCTTCCTTCTTCCTTCCTTCTTTCTTCTTCCTTCTTCTTTCTTCTTCCGTCTTTCTTCTTCTTCCCTCGTGATCCACCTGCATCAGCCTCCCAAAGTGATGGGATTACAGTTATGAGCCACTGTGCATCCAGCCTCCTCCTCCTCCTCCTCCTCCTCCTCCTCTGCCTCCTCTTCTTCTTCTTTCTTCTTTTCTTTTTCTTTCTTCTTTCTTCTTTCTTTTCTTCTTCTTTCTTCCTTCCTCTTCCTCCTCTTCTTCCTCTTCCTCCTCCTCTTCCTCTTCTTCCTCTTCCTCTTCCTCTTCCTCCTCTTCCTCTTCCTCCTCCTCCTCTTCCTCCTCTTCCTCTTCCTCTTCATCTTCTTCTTCTTTTCTTCTTCTTCTTCTTCTTCCTTTTCTTCTTCTTTTGGTAGGGTCTTGCTCTGTCACCCAGGCTGGAGTGCAGTGATGCCATCAGGGCGCACTGCAGCTTTTGACTTCCTGGGCTCAAGCAATCCTCCCATCTCAGCCTCCCTAGAAGCTGGAACTGCAGGCACATGCCACCATGCTCTGTTAGTTTTTATATTTTTGGTAGAGATGGGATGTCACCATGCTGCCAGGCTGGTCTCAAACTCCTGGACTTGAGCAATCTCTCTGACTTGGCCTCCCAATGTACTGGGATTCCAGGTGTGAGCCACTGAGCCTGGCCACTTTTCTAGCTCTTTAAGATGCACTGTTAGGTTATTTACTTAGTTTTTCTTCTTTTTTGATGTAGGGACTTAGAGATATAAATTTCTTGCTTAATACTGTTTTCACGGTATCCCACAGGTTTTGCTGTGTTCTGTTTCTATGATCATTTGTTTCAGGAATTTTTAAAATTTCCTTTTTTTTTTTTTTTTTTTTGAGACAGAGTTTTGCTCTGCCCAGACTGGAGTACAGTGGTGCCATCTTGGCTCACTGCAACATCTGCCTCCTGGGTTCAAGTGATTCTCTTGCCTCAGCCTCCCAAGGAGCTGGGATTACAGGCACCAGCCACCATGCCCTGCTAATCTTTGTATTTTTAGTAGAGATGGGGTTTCACCATGTTGACCAGGCTGGTCTTGTACTCCTGACCTCAGGTGATCTGCCTGCGTCAGCCTCCCAGAATGCTGGGATTACAGACGTGAGCTATGGTGCCCAGTCAAATTTCCTTCTTAACGTCTTCACTGAACCACTGGTCATTCAGGAACATACTGTTTGATTTTCTCGTGTTTGTATTGTTTCTAGAATTACTCTTATTGTGGAATTCTACTTTTACTCTGTTGTTGTCAGAGAAGATGTTTGATACTATTTCAGCTTTTCTAATGTTTTAAGACTTGCTTAGTGACCTAACATATGGTCTGTCCTTGAGAATGATCCATGTGCTGAGGAGAAGAGTGTGTATTCTGCAGACTTTGGACAGAGTGTTCTGTAAATGCCTAGTAGATCCATTTGTTCTATAGTGCAGATTAAATCTAATGTTTTCTTGTTGGGTTTCCATCTGGGAGATCCATCCAGTGCTGGAAGTGGGCTGCTAAAGTCTCTAGGTGTTATCACATTAAGGTTTGTCTCTCTAGCTCTAATAACATTTGCTTTATGTGCTCCAGTGTGTGTGCATATGGACTTACAGTTATTATATTCTGTTGCTGGATGGCCTTCTTTGTCTCCTCTTACACTTTTTGTCTTAAAATCTGTTTTGTCTCACTATTGCTACTCCTGCTCTTTTTTGGTTTCCATTGGCATGGAGTAGCTTTTTCTGTCCCTTTATTTTCAGTCTATGTGTATCTCTATAGGTGAAGTGTGTTTCTTGTAGGCAACAGATCACTGGGCCTTGCTTTTTCATCCGTTCAGCCATTCTACGTCTTCGTATTGGAGAGTTTAGTTCATTTACATTCAATGTTATTGCCAAGTAGGGACTTCCTGCTGCCATTGTGTTACTTGTTTTCTCACTGTTGTATGGTATTCTCTTTCTTTTTCTTTTTTTCCTTCTTGTCTTGCTTTTAGTGAAGGTGATTTTCTCTGCCGGCTGGTGGTATGATTTAATTTCTTGCTTCTATTTTTTGTGTATCCACTGTGTGTTTTTTCTTTTCTTTTTTTGAGACAGAGTCTCATGTATTGTGTGTTTTTTGATTTGAGGTTACTGTGAGGCTTATAACTCATTATTATAAACTGATGTCATCTTAACACTGATTGAATAAATAAACATAAAGCAAAAAGAAAACTAATGAAAACTGTACACTTTACCTTCATCTCAGCGCTTTTTAACTTTTTGTTGTTTCTGTTTACGTTTTTTTATTATTTATTATTATTTTATTTTGAGATGGAATCTAGCTCTGTTGTCCAAGCTGGAGTGCAGTGACATGATCTCAGCTCACTGTAAACTCTACCTCCCAGGTTCAAACAATTCTCCTGCCTCAGCTTCCTGAGTAGCAGGTGGCCACCACCTTGCCCAGCTAATTTTTTTTGTATTTTTGCTGAGACAGGGTTTCACCATGTTGGCCAGGCTGGTCTCAAACTCCTGACCTCAGGTGTTCTGCCTGCCTTGGCCTCCCAAAGAGCTGGGACTACAGGTGAGAGCTATGGTGTCCAGCCTCTGTATGTCTTATTGTACTGTCTATATCTTGAAAAGTGGTTGTAGTTATTTTTGATTGGTTTATCATTTACTTTAAAGTAACTTACCATAGTTACAGTATTATAATAGTTTTTCTGTGTGCTTACTATTACCAGTGAGTTTTGTACCTTTAGATGATTTCTTCTTGCTCATTAACATCTTTTATTTCAGATTGAAAAACTCCCTTTAGTATTTCTTGTAGGACAGGTCTGCTGTTGATGAAATCTCTCAGCTTTATTTGTCTGGGAAGGTCTTTATTTCTTCTTCCTGTCTGAAGGACATTTTTGCCACCTGCTACTCAGGAAGCTGAGGCAGGAGAATTGTTTGAACCTGGGAGGTAGAGTTTACAGTGAGCTGAGATCATGTCACTGCACTCCAGCTTGGACAACAGAGCTAGATTCCATCTCAAAATAAAATAATAATAAATAATAAAAAAACGTAAAATGTCTAGGGTAATGGGTTTTTTTCCTTCGGCACTTTAAACATGTCATGCCACTCTCTTCTGGCCTGTAAGGTTTCCACTGGAAAGTTGGCTCCCCCATGTATTGGAGCTTCCTTGTATGTTATTTGTTTTTTCTCTTGGTGCTTTCAGGATTCTTTCTTTATCCTTGACCTTTGCGAGTTTAATTATCAGACACCTTGAGGTAGTCTTCTTTGGGTTAAATATGCTTGGTGTTCTATAAACTTCTTGTAACTGAATGTTGATATCTTTCTCTAGGTTTGGGATGTTCTCTTACTATCCTTTTGAATAAGCTTTCTACCCCCATGTCTTTCTCTACCTCCTCTTTAAGGCCAATGACTCATAGATTTGCTTTATGACTTAATAACTTTAATTACGATTTATTAAAATATTTGCTTATAAATATATATATTTTACATATATATGTGTGTGTATATGTATGTATGTATATATATATATATAATTTTTTTTTTTTTTTTTTTGGAGACAGAGTCTCTCTCTGTCACTTAGGCTGGAGCACAGTGGCATGATCTCGGCTCACTGCAGCCTCTGCTTCCCAAGTTCAAGCAATTCTCCTTCCTCAGCTTCCCAAGTAGCTGGGACTACAGGCACCCCCTACCACACATAGCTAATTTTTTGTATTTTTAGTAGAGACAGGGTTTCATCATGTTGGCCTGGGTGATCTTGAACTCCTGACCTCAGGTGATCCACTCACCTCAACCTCCCAAAATGCTGGGATCACGGGCATGAGCCACCGTGCCCAGCCAATGCTGTGGTTTTTGAAACCTCATAGAGGTACTGCCGTGGTTGTCTTGGATAGGATCTGGAAGAATTCTCTGGATTGTCAGGCAGAGACTCTAGTTCTCTTCCTTTACTTTTCCCCAAACAAATGGAGTCTCTCTCTCTCTGTGCTGTCACCTGGAGCTGGGGGTGCGGTGATACAGGAACCTCTGTGGCTGCCGCCACTGGGACTGCACTGGTCACACCTGAGGCCAGCACAGCACTGGGTATCACCCAAGATCTGCTGGAACCACTGCCTGGCTACCGCCAGTGTTCACTCAAGGCCCTAGGCTCTGTGATCACCAGGTAGTGAAGCCATCGGGATTGTGTCCTTTCCCCAGGCCCTAGGTGGGCCACAGGTGCTGTCTGGGAGCAGGGATTATTGTCAACAACCTTAGCAATTTTCCTCTTGTTCTATTCCACTATGGCTAAGCTGGCACTCACACTGCAATGCAAAGTCCTTCTGCTGTTGCCTCCACTTTCCACAGACGGGGTCCTCTCCAATGGCCACCACCCCCGCCAGCCCATGCTGTGGGGTTCTGGCAGACCCCACTGGTGTCCACTAAGACTCAGTGACTCTTCAGTCAGCTTGTGGTCAATGCTGCCAGGCCTGAGACCCACCCTGCAGGGCAGCAGCCTTCCCTCTGTCCTAGGGCAGGTCCAGAAACACTGTCCAAGAGCCTGGACCTGGACTCGGGGACCCCAAGAGCCTCGTTGGTGCTCTGCCCCACTGTGGCCAAGCTGGTAGCTAGGATGCAAGACCAAGTCCCCTTTTCTCTTCCCTCTCCTCCCTCTCTCACCATTGCCGCCAGAGCTGGGAGTGTGCTGGGTCACTCCTGAAGTCAGCACATCTCAGAGCCCAAGGCCCATGATGTACTACCTGGGTATCCCTGCCAGTTATTCAGGGCCCATGGGTGATGAATCCTGCCAGGGCTGGGTCCTTTTTTTCAAGACAGTGTGTTCCCTTCTGCCCCAAAGTGTGTCTAGAATGCCAGTGAGCCAGGGCCTGGGCTGGAGGCCTCACTCCTCTGCCCGGTGTCCTCTCCTCCTGTGGTTGAGCTGGTGTCCAAGATGCAACACCAAGTCCTCATTACTCCTCACTCTCCTCTCCTTGAGCAGAAGAGAGGAATTACTTTCATTGTTTGGCCAGCTATGCAGTCTGGGGCTGGGGGAGGGTGGCAAGCACTCCCTGGGCCACCCTGGCTCTTGGCTCCCTGGGTCATGGGCCACCCCAGTCCCCAGCTCGAGCCGAGCCCAGGACTAGAAGTTGCAGAGGAACTGCAGTCCTTGGGTCCTAGACCCTCTTGTAAGTTTCCCTAGGATCCCTAAGTACTGTGGCCCATGGTGGGGAGGCTTGCCCAGAAACTCAAGTTCTGGCCACTGGAATGGGCGACTCCCCTCTGGCTAGGGCTGGCCCAGGTGCTGCCTTCCAGTTTGGGCACTGACTGAGCAAAGCACGGCTTTGGCTTTGCTCTCTGCAGTGACAGGGCAGCACTGAGTTCAGTGTCAGGCCTCCCAGTCATTGCTCTCTCCCTCCTGCAAGTGCACAGAGACTTGGTGCTGCATGGTGTCTGCCAGCAGGTGAAAGAGGTGGCACCAGTGTACCAGGACTGTCTCTCCCACCCGCATCCATGCCTCTTTCTGTGATACGAAGGCAAAACCAGGTACTGTGATGGCTCACCTGATTTTTGGTACTTGTGATGGTGCTTTTCTGTGTGCAGATAATTGTTAAAATTTGGTGTTCCCGTAGAGGTGAGGGGTAGGATGAATGCTTTGCCACCCCTCTTTTCTCTTTTTTCTTCTTTCTTTCTTCCTTTTTTTTTTTTTTTTTTTTTTTGGAGGGGGGTTTTTTCTTTTTTGTTCGGCAGGCTGGAGAGCAATGGCGTGATCTCGGCTCACCACAACCTCCGCCTCCTGGGTTCAGGCAATTCTCCTACCTCAGCCTCCTGAGTAGCTGGGATTACAGGCACGCGCCACCATGCCCAGCTAATGTTTTGTATTTTTAGTAGAGACGGGGTTTCACCATGTTGACCAGGATGGTCTCGATCTCTTGACCTCATGATCCACCCGCCTCGGCCTCCCAAAGTGCTGGGATTACAGGCTTGAGCCACCGTGCCTGGCTCTTTCTTCCTTTTTTTTCTTTTTTCTTTTTTCTTTTTTTTGGATACAGGAGCTCCTGTGGCCCAGGCTGGAGCACAGTGCTGCAATCATGGCTCAACTGCAGCCTCAACTGCCTGGGTTGAAGTGATTTCCCCCACCTCAGCCTCCTAAGTAGCTTGGACCATAGACCTGCGTCACTTCATCCAGCTAACTTTTAAATTACCTGTAGAGACAGGATCTCACCATGTTGCCCAGGCTGGTCTCAAACTCCTGAGCTCAAGTGATCCTCTTGCCTCAGCCTCCTAAAGTGCTGGGATTACAGGTGTGAGCCACCATGCCCAGCGTATCCTTTATTTTCAATGTAGCTAATGGCACGCAACAATAACCAAGGGATTGTATATTTAGCTTGTTTCTTGTTTTACATTTTCTTACACATCTGCTGTGCCAACTCTGTTGGGTCTTGGTTCCATCATTTCTAAATTCCATAGGTAACTTTTACCTCTTGTAATCGATCACATTGCAGCTAGTGATGTAGTAACTGTGTAGAAATAAACCTTCATCAGCCCTTTTACCTTCCTTTCTCCAAGTTAAGCTTGCACTAAGTTTCAGAGAGGGTAATTCTAGCGAATCACATTTCTGAAGCCAACTGTTTCTGGAGTCCCCAAGACACCCCCTCAGTTCAATGATTTGCTATAAGGACTCACAGAATTCTGAAATGCTGTTATACTCACTGTCATGGTTTATTACACTGAAAAGATCCAGATGAAAGTCAGCAGAGGTCAGTGGTACCCAGGACAGAGCCCAGGAGAGACACAGCACAGAAATCCCACTTAGTTGGCCGGGCGCAGTCTCTCACACCTGTAATCCCAGCAGTTTGGCAAGCTGAGGCTGGTGGATCACCTGAGATCAGGAGTTCGAGACCAGCCTGGCCAAGATGGTGAAACCCCGTCTCTTTTTTTTTTTTTTTTTTTTGAGAAGAGGGGAGGAGAGTGGAGGCTTTTATACCCCGTCTCTAATAAAAATATAGAAATGAGCTGGGTGCCGTGGCAAACACCTGTAATCCCAGCTACTTGGGAGACTGAGGCAAGAGAATCACTTGAATCCAGGAGGCAGAGTTTGCACTGAGCCAAGATCACGCCGCTGCACTCTATCCTGGGCAAAAGAGCAAGAATGTCTAAAAGAAAAAAAAAATCCCGCTGTTGTCTTCCAGTGCAATCACATGGACAGTGCTGGATTCTCCCAGGCACAATGTGTGATACATGTACAGGACACTGCCTGTCGGGGACCTCCACCAAGCCCTCATGTCCAGAGGTTTTGCAAGGTTGGTCTTGTATGTATTGAGGACTTGGGTGGCTGACATTAGGTACCAAGTCCCCTGCCCCCTCTGGAGGTCAAACTGATAACAACCGGATGCAAGGTCCTACCATAGATCACATTGTCAGCAGACTGTCCGGCATGGCTGAGGCTCCAGGAATTCAAAGACACTGTTTCCAAACATAATATTACTAAAGCACACAGCTCATCTTCCAGGAACTGGTTGAGGTCTTGTTTTTCTTCTAAAAGATACAGAGACCCTGCCTTCCCCAAGCTAATGAGTCTACCCTTTACTGCACAGTGGTTCCCTCAGTCTGGAGGCCCACATTTCAGGCCCACCTCAGGCCAGAATACCAGGGGCAGCAGTCCCACCAGCACCATCACAACAGTGACCTCCCTTTGTATACGACACCCCAAAATAAAAGACAAATCATGGAGAGTCAGGGAGCTTTGTGCCAGGGTCACTTCCCAGGGTTCATTCGGCAGTGCCAGAACATTCCCTGGGTAGGACCCACGGCAACCCAGGACTGAGCCATCACCCTCGCCTCCGTCACCTCACCACAGGACTGCCTAGGCAACAAGAGCAAAACTTTACCTGAAAGGAGCAAAAATTAGCTGGGCTCAGTGGTGCCTGTAATCTCAGCTACATGGGGAGCTGAGGTAGGAGGTCCACTTGAGGTCAAGACTGCAGTGAGCCGTGATCCTGCCACTGTACTCCAGCCTGAGCAACAGAGGGAGACCCTGCCAAAAAAAAAAAAAAAAAAACCCGCATGTCATGAACAAAGGATCCTCCATAACATTACCACCAGATTTTTTTTTTTTTTTTTTTTTT